AGAGATGATGAAGAGGAGACAGAAATTTGAATGAGGATTTTCCTAGTGAACTTTAAAGGCTAATTCTCCAAGGTTCTGTGGTTTTGTGGGCCTTGACTTACCTATAGTGATTAAAGTTTAAAACCACTTTTGAACTCATGCACAGTCACCCAGCCTTTTCTTTTGGATTATCGTGATATCCTGCTGCATATCCCTGATCCTTCATGGTGAAAATTTATTTCTTTCATTGCTCTTACCCGAGACATTTGGGGAAATGATTTGGAAAAATGTGTATGCCAATCACACTTGCATTTCTCTTAGAATATTAAAGTTGAAAAATGATTTAAACTGTCCTGTCACATGAATTTTCTTTTCTTCCATTTTTAATCCTCTGACAGTGTCATACATGTAGGTAATGAATTTCTGTTTTATAACTGCTTTAATATCCTATAATGTTCCTACCCATAGCAAGGTCAATATTAATAGATTTGCAAACATTGAGATATGGTTCACAATCAGCCTTTTTACCCTTTGAATAATGTGTCTCACAGGAATAATTGTGTCAGCCTTCACTGTCTCATTTAGTGTAACATTCTGCTTATAAGTGATTTAATCATTTTTAGTTCATTATTCTTAGCCTTAGAATTGTTAAAAAGAAAAAAAAAACCCTTACGGGCCAACTTTACAAATAAGCATTGCAGGGCAGTGAAGAAGGGATACTTTGCCTGGACGATGGTGTCATCAGATGCACACAGTTCACAGGTAGGTGAAGAGGTTTAGCTACAGAGTGAAGGAGCTGGTACAAAACAGGTTCCGAACTCTGGTGGTCAGGAAGAGTAATGGAGAATAATAGTGAACAAACCATTTGAGACAGATGCAGTGTGCGATCCTATTAACACCCTGTGCATATGTTTGTTTTAACCAAAGGCACTATGACCAAGTGAGTCATTTGACTCACCATGTTGCTGTCTCTCAACTTTGTTCCCCTGTGAGTGGTACCAGTGAAGTCATATACAATAAAGGGCCTATCATAGCAGTAATGAAGCCTGCACATGTTTCAATAAAGCACTGATAGCTAGCTCTTGCCGTGGCTGAATGCTCAATTGTGAAATTTCTACATTGAATATTATAATGAGGGACGGACCATTCTTCTTTTGATCGCATTACGTTTGTTCCAGTTTGTTCCATGGAACAAACAGTGCTTTTGTCCTTACTGCAACAACAGTCTGGATAGTTTGGGGACCACCATGCTGCTTCTATTCATTGAGTGAATGCCTTATTTTAACCATGTCATCTCACACAGTGTTGCTTTGGGTCAGTAAAATCACTTTATAGAAAAATAATTAAGGCCACTATTCTTTAAGTCAATAAAATCACTTTATAGAAAAATAATTAAGGCCACTATTCTTTGAGTTCAGTACTATGTATACAAAATTATCATTATGAAGCATCTGACTTACAGCACAACAGATAGTTTAAGGAAGACTTAGGACTCTGAGTGGAGAAACACCACCTTTTAACATAGGGGCTGTATCCTTCAGAATAAAATATGTTTTCTGAACAAATAATTAGTACGTAATGCTGTTTCTTCTATCTGGGTAATGAGTGTGGGAAGGACATTTCTCATTATATTTAATGATCAGGGCACAAAACTTTTGTATCCTAAATTTATTATTTTAGCTTCTGCTAGCTTAAGAGTCTTAGTATTCATTAGAGGAATATTCCTCCAGGGGACAAAATTGATCTGGAACTTGCAATTACCACATGTTATTTTGGGACTTTCTTTTGCAGTGGGCTGAAAAGTTAAAAAGTATTATGATAATATTTCCCATGAATTTCTAAGATGGACTCTAGAGGTTCCTTTGGAGTGCCTCTTAGTACTGTAATATCTAATGATGAAAGTTAGTGGAGGGTTGTAGCAACTCGGATAGGTAAGATCATGAGGCTAATCTCCAGTAGCTAAACTTTCAGTGAGCCCAGTCATAACTGGATGAGATGGTAGCTGAGCACAGAGGATGGAGGTCAACACTGTCACAGAATCCCAAGTGAAATAACAAAACTGATTTAAAAAAATGTATAGTTCCATAAATTCTAACAGATATGTAGAATTTAACACCTGGAGTAGCCACTCCTAAAACTAAGATACAAAACGAATTCACATGTCTACACATTTCTACTTATCTACTTTGTGCTATTGCTTCGAGGTTATAGGTCCCTTCCACTTCAGCCACCAAGAACCGGAAACTTCTGAAACTATAATTATATTTATTTTGGGTAATTCCATATAAATGAAATGATAGTAGCATATATATATATATATATATATATATATATATATATATATATTTTTTTTTTTTTTTAGAGTGGCTTCCTTCTTTTAGTATAATGATTTTGAAATTCATCCAGGCTATAATGCACATGCATAGTCCATTTCCTTTTATTGCTGAATAGTAATCTCTAGCGCTTCACATATGTGATAGTTACCTTCATAATTCATTCACTCTACTTCAGAATAATAATATGGGATTGTCACCAAAGCGGGCAAGAAATGAACAGTACCAAGATATGAAAGTTTTAGTGCAGGATCAGTGGTGAGTGGAAGGGCATGAGCGCTGCAGAAAGTTTTTTGATTTCCTTCACATTCATTTTGCCTTACTTTTAGTATGCCCTTTTAACCAAAAAAAAAAAAAAAAAAAAAAAAGGCTAAAGAGATAAAATATTCCAATTTAATGAAATTTTCATTTAGAAGTTATATTTTTAGAAAAATAAAACTGCTAACGACACTACAGTTATCAGTACTAATATGTTAAGTCTTATAGATATGAAGCATGTTTTAACTGTTTAAAAACAGAGACCTGAGGGAGAAAACCATGAATGTGTAATTACCCTCGCAGAAGGAGAGCAGCAACATCCTGAAGTGGCCGTGAGTAGCTTTTGTTTGGGATTCACTGGCCTCGTTGACATTCTCCCTCCACATTCCCATGACTCTCTGGTGGCTACATTCTACGTAGAATGTGGGTTAAAGAATCACTCTCAAATGAGTTGTAGGAGACAACGAGCAGTAAGCAGCAGCAGCAGCTGCATGATGATAGACAAGTTTTCAGGGAAACCTTTCTGTTATCTCTCTACATGTCCCTTTCCACGCTCAGGCCCTTCGTTTTGTTTTGTCACCACCTGAACTTAACCAGGGCCATCTGTAGGATCATGGGTTTGCAGCTGTCCATTGGTGTCTGGTGGGTTCACAACTGGTACACAAGTGAAGGCAATGACTGCTCTTCCTCCAGAATTCATCAGTAGTCAATAGTTCTTCAAGGAGGGCTAGGGCCCCTGGGGATCCATGATTTCCTGTCGACAGCCCAGTGCAATGGGCATGGCTGCTGTGCTGTCAGGACTGCCATGGCTGTGCCACGCTTAGAAGACAGCCTGTGGTGGCCCTCTTTAATTTCCTTTCTGCATTCACATTCTTTCTGTCTCTTATCCCACCATGCTCCCTGAATGAACAAACATGTTTTAATATGGTATCAAACTGTTTTACAGAATATCTCCGCTCCAGAGCACATAATCCACAAACACATTTTCTAGAATTATTCTAATTCCTAGACTCATATAAAAACATTTTCCATAATATTTCATTCTGCCTTATATAAAATTTACATCTCAAACATTTCATACTTGAATTCATTCCTGCTTTGTAACACTTTTGTGCTTGCAGGATTTTAAAAAAAAATTTGGTCATCTGTATTGCAGTCTTGTTTACCTGCAAAAAGAAAAGTCTATGTAAATAGCATGCCTTTAGCCCTGCAGGTTGTTGATGTAGTTCTGCCCTTGGCTGATTGCTAGTGAAGTTCACCTGTGGGTACCCTGTGAAAAAGAAAACTAATGTGTACCTACTAACTCAACGCTGTTTAGTCCTTTAGGAAGAAATTATTGATTGAGAGTTGCCAATAGTGATATGAAGGGAAATCTGTAATTTACTCTACATAGACTAAAATGGGCTTTATTTTTATAAAGGAAGAAAATGCTTAAATTCATTAGACAGGCTGTTAATCGTTGACAAAGATAATGTAAATCTGGCTCACCTAAATTCTTGATGGAGTAAAGAATAAAAAAAAAAGTTACAAAGGAAATAAAAACAAAGTGATAAGAGAGCCATCTACCTGTCTGGATACTCCTAAGCCACAAGAGGCAGAAAATGAAAAGGGAATGTTCTTATACTGGAGGAGTCACATTTCCTCTGCTGCAGACAAATTCAGGTCGGAATTCAGGTGGGTTTCTCTAAGTACGCAAATGAACAGGATAGCCGAACACTATCGCTCGTTAATTCCTAGGATCAAAGGTCAGAGGATCCTTGAGATTCTCCCACACAGACATGTCCTTCTGGTTCACTGCCTGGTGGGGACCACACAACATAGACCACTACTTCAGTCTCTGGACAGGATCAACTCTGTCCCAGAAGTAAAAAAAAAAAAAAAAAAAAGGTTTACTCGACAGAGGCCACACATCTGTAGGAAATAACTCCAGTATCGTCAGGAAGCGCGTTTGGTACATTCCCCTGTACTGTGAGCCAGGCGCCCTTCCAAGAGCTTTGTGCACATCAACTTAATTAACCCGCTTTGGCGACCCCCCGTGGTGGGCACTGTTGCCATTTTCATTGAATAGATGAGTCCAATACTACAAACCTCAAGCCTTCTTGCTCCCTGCCATCCCAGGCAAACCCTAATCGTGTAGAAATTCATTTTCACGTTGCCAGGCGTGCATCCTTTACAAGAGATCCTCCTAGGGTGTCCACAGGGGTCTAGAGAGGGGCTACACCCCGAGGTCCCTGGCCTCCCTGACTCCCTCTATCTTGTCGCAAGGCTCCTGCGCGGTTGGCAGTGCCACTGTTCCCCGCGTGCTGGGCTGGGCCTCAGCCGCAGCCCGCGCCACCTGCTCCCGGCTCTGGCGTCCCCGCCCCGCGTCCCGCCCCCGCGCCGCGCCCGCGTCCCACGGTCCCTCCCTCTGGCGTGACGGGAGCACGGGCGCCGGCTGCCCGCGCTGCGAGCCGCCGAGCTGTCAGCGGGCGGACCAGCCCAGGGAAGCGGAGCCGAGAGGAGCCAAGAGCGCGGTCCTCGCCTCCGGGAGCCGGAGCTGCGCAGCTTCACGCTTCGAGTCTTCCCGGCGCCGCCGTGATGCTGCTGCTCGCCCTGCGGCGGGCACGGGCCAGGGGCCGGAGGCGACCGGCCGGGGGTCCCCGGCGCGAGCGCTCGCCACGCTGGAGCCCCGCCTGGATTTGGTGCTGGGTGCTCGCAGGCTGCCAGGCAGCCTGGGCTGGGGACTCGTCCTCCTCTGGCCGCCCGCTTCCTGCGTGCCAGGAGGTGAGCAGCACCTGGTCCCCACTTGGAGTTTGCGGCAGGGTGCGGGGTGGGGCGGGCGCTCGGACGCTGGCTCAGAGCGGCCACCACCTTTCTCGGGTTTGGAGGGTAGGTACGTTCGTTTGTGTCCGGGGATGAAGTTGCTCGCCCTTCTTCTCTGGCATGGAGCGGGTGTGCAGGTTTGCTGTTTTTCTGGTGGTGTATATCTCTCCGCGCTGGTGCTTGGGGGTTTCGGAAGGACTTTGCGGCGCCCCCTTTGGAGAGCCAGGTCGCAGGACCTGAGGTCGAGGGAGAAATTTCAGGAAGGGGAGGAGACTGGGGAAACCCTGCCCCGTGGGATTTGGAAAACCAAGGCTTTAGAGCTTTTCAGAGACCTAGATACCGACCCTCCCTTCTCCTGCTTTCTCTGCTCCCATGTCTCCACAAAAGCTTTCACCCAACTCGCCTCTGCTCTCAGCTCTCTAGATAAGGCACGGTGTGGTCTCTTGACATTCTGGCAAGGCATGGATGTGAAGGAGGTACAGAAAAAAGTACTTAAGAAAGAGGCGGGTCGGTGATGTAGAAAATCAAAATGGGCAGAGCAAATAGGCTCCTTTGGGGAGGTTCGTTGCCTAGCTGGAGCCTTGTAGCTGTGTGCTTTTACAGCTTGAGATTACTGCTGATTTATAGCCAAGAAGCCAATAAATTCTGGACGATTAGGTTTTTCTCCTGCTTTTAGGAAAACGAGACTTAGTGTGCCAAAAATTTACAGGGGGTGCCGCTGGAAGTTGTATTGTGTGTTTATCTTTTCCTTTAATGCTCCAGAAAGTGCATCCTCTTAATGAAAATCAATGAGGGGAAGAGAGTAACATTTCTGACCTACTTTGAATCATCGTGTTGGAGAGGAGGTGAGGCGCACAGGCTGTTTAAGGACGATTGCTAGGAATCAGGGTGATTTTTTTTTTTTTTTAATTTATCCAGCAAAAATAGGTTAGCCACTAGCTCCCTTTGAGAGGAAAGGGCATATTCTGTTTTCTTGTGCATGCTGGAACTACTTCTGAATTAGAGGAGCTTCCTTTTAGACACCATCCATCATCGCATGCATTTTCATCTTCCTCTCCTACAATGCATGCTTCAGGGCAGTCTGGAATGATGGAGAGTCAGATGGCGAGCTTGAGCGTGAAGATGCAGCTGTTTTGTAGCTGGTGAATCAGGGCAAGGTCTGAGCAAACATCTGGCTTAATTTCAGACTGCACTAGTACTGGTTCAGTATGTATCCTGCCCACTTGTCACCTGGAATAATCCAGTCTTCGGGCTCCCATAGAATTTGGCTTTTTGGACATCCACAACTGTTGTGGCAAAATAAACTTTATTGTCCAGTTACCTAGTCTTGGTATGGAGATCATGTTTCTTTTCTGCAGTGAAGTTCTAGGTTCCTTGCAATATTAATTCTTGGTAGTGAAGAATCTGCTTGAAGGGGAAAGGTCAAGGCCAGTAGAAGAGAGGCTTCAACACCACAATATTTATTTATTTATTTATTTATTAAGTAATTTATTTATTTATTTATCCTATACCCCAGGCTGGGCTTAAATTCCTTATGTTGCTGGTGATGGGCCTTGAATTTCTGATCCTTTTGCCTCCATATCCTAAGTGCTGGGGCTACAGGTATAGGTTGCCACACCCAGTTTATATGGTGGTGGGGATCAAACCTAGGGCCCCTTGCACTCTAGGCAAGCACTCTACCAACTGAGCTACATCCCTATTCCTAGACTACAGGAATACAGAACTGAGGCAAGGGGGTGATAGACTGAACAAGAACATGACGCTCACCCAAGTTCTAGTTTTTCTTTGAATTGGCTTTAGTAATTGCATGCGGTTCATCCCTTTCTATCTCAATTTTGGATTTTTCCCTTTAAAAATGAAAATAGAGAAAATAGAGGGTGCCACTGAGCCAGCTTGTGGCTAACTGTGCTCTTAGAACCAGTAATGCCCAGGTCTACTTATATTCTTCCTGCAGACTGCAGGCAGTGTGAGACTAGTCCCTGTACGTTAGAAGCTTCTCCGGAAATGGAGGAAGCCTCCCAGAGGCACAATTTGATTGTCCATACCCAGACTAGCTAATTTGTACTCTTGATCATTGTTTCAACCTGCCATTATTTTGAAGAGGAAAAGTGGAGGTCTCGGACTTTTTGGGTGAAGACTTCCTGTTCTGGGGGTGTGAGCATATAGGAGGTCTGTCTTGAGCTTAGCAAGTTCCTCTGAGAGACAACTATTGAAGCATGACCATTAGCAGAATAAAAACGACGATTCTCTGTTCTGGCTGGCTAACTACTCCCTCTTCTTGCTTTCACCCCTGTAGCAGAGTGACCTGGTGCTTGCTGCCTTAGTGCTGGGAGCCATGATGGCCTCCTCAGTCCTGGGTTTTCTTAACATTAAAGTAAGTTACTGCTGAGCACAAAGGATAGCAGCACTGTGAGGTGGGGAGAGAGGCCTTAAATTAGGGCCTTTAAGGCTACACACTAAAGCCAAGTCTTACTAACCGGAGTGAAAGGGAGTATGGGAAAATCAGCAGGCTACTCGAAACCTCAAAACTTTGTCAACATTTTCACCAAATAAGCCACGTTTAATGAAGTTACAAGGACTGGTTTTTCTTGCCTCCCTGTAGAAGGAAAGAGACAGTGTAGAAAATTGGTCTGGGAGGAACCTGATGATGATTGCCTGAGATGAGACAAAGGTCCCTTCAAAAATACAACCGGGCAGTAGGCAGGCGTTTCACCTTAGATTTTGTGGCAAATTGGACTCTAGAGTGAGGTTCTAAGTGCAGTGCTATCAAAGACCTTTGATTATATAGCGGAAAGGGGGAGTAAAAATGATTGCTTTCGGAAGTTTACGTGGAGACCACATCAGCAGGGTGGAAGTGGAAGCACAAACAGGAAGGGCCAGTTTGGGAGAGAAAAATAAAAGTCAAGTCTATGTGCCCGAAGGTGAAGGGCGAGGATAGGATGTGATGTTTTAAAATGATATCTGAACAGTAGAGGTGTATGGGATTACTTGGGGTTTTGTATGAGGAAACACTTTCTGGGATTCTGTGCATTTGTTTTTCACTTGCAACCTGACTCCAATAAATGACCTGTTTCATCATGAGAATGTGTGATTTATTAAAGGGAAAATTTGTATCAGTGTGAGAATTGTTATATTGCTAGATTAGTGGAGGTCAATGCTGATTTTGCAGGAAACATCTAGAGAGAGACTTCAAAGGCCCAGGCTCATAGCTTAGGCCTACACCTGTGAATCTGAGTGGGATTTTTGACTAACTGACTAATTGGACCTATTAGGGCAGCCAGAGGAAAAAGGTATCCAGGCCAACAGATGATTCAGAGTTGCATTGAGATATTAAAAGAGCTTGTGAGAACAGAAAAGAACAGAACTAAGTGGATTGTGTCTACATTATTTAAATCTGATAATTGCAGTCACAAGACTCTTAGTTCACTGTTCTGAAATCTTGCACAATGTGATTCTACTGGTCTCTGAATATTTAGTGAATGATGAGCATGGCTAACAGTTTTTATTCTACCAACATGTATTCAGTTTATATTAGTCAGCAGGCAAAAATGTCATGATAAATATTACAGAATAAAAAAACATAAAAATACAATATATATGGGTAAGGATGAGGCAGATATGTAAACAAAAAATTGTAAGTGAGCGATTTGGTGCCACAAGATACACAAATGGCACTAGAACCCATGGAGAAGGATTAGAAAAAGCACTGCCAACGAAGTGAAGAGGGCTTTGGAGATGAGCAGGAATTTTCCGAGAAGACAAGAGTCAGATGTGCATATGGCTCCTTTGAGGGAAAGGAATATCAGGTGTAGAGCACAGGTCAAAAAGCGGCAGAAACATAAAGCTGTATTGGGTTATAATGGGGTTACAACTGGAATCGAGTGAGCAGCAAGACGTTTCATGTGCAATGGATCTGAGAGGCACAGGAGCCTGCTCACTAAGGGTCTTATGCCATGCTAAGAAGCTGGTCTTTATTTGACAGGCAGCTAGGAGCAAGGGAAGAACTTAAACATTTAGTTTGGCAGTAAGATGGAGGCCAGATTAGAAGAGTGGGAAATGGAAAGGGGTGAGACCTGCAGTGGTCCAGGAGGAGGAAGGCAGAGCATCAATTAAAGGGTAGCCATGAAAGTGGAAAAAAGCATGATTAGAAGATTGAGGGGAGGTGTTGAGTGAATGAGGGGATCTAGACTGATTAGGGAGAGTTGTCTATAACCTCAGGATTGTGAGGAAACTAAGGGACTTTGTGCTTCGAGGAACTGATTTACATAGAACTGTTTAGCTGGCAGCCAGGGATCAAGCTACAATGCTTAGGATCATGGTCTGGGCTAGAATGGGAGCTTGAGAATCACACGGATAAAATGAATGGGTGAAAGGATAGAACTTAGGTTTTACCAACTCTAAATGAAGCAGTAATGTTCACAAAGAAGACAACAAAACAATGGCTAGACCAGAGAAATATGAGTTATGAGATTTTGAGGAAATGGAGAAAAGACTTTGAAGAAGAAAGGGGTGTCAAGTGCCCTACACAAGAGAGAACGGACAGAGGGCATTTATTTGGCAATTATGTTGCTGGTGCTCTGTGCCAGAGCGTTTCTACCAGAATCAGGTGGGATGGGTTGATACTATCTAGCAGATGAGGCAGGGTTATAGGTGATAGTGATAAAGCTTCCCAGGCTTGGGAGGTTTTCAGCATTTCCAAGTTCCTTATAAACCAAGAAATGTGTACATGACTACGTGCAGGAGGCTTTGGTCATGAGCTGTGGGGGAAGTCACACTGTCACTGAAGGAGACAGGACTCCACCTTTGTTGTCGAACAGTTACCACAATTATTTTTGCTTGTTGGGCCTGGGGAGGTGAGTTTTCCATTTCAAGTTTTCATGCTCGGAACCATTTTTGATGTTTTAGGCAAATGTCAGGAAGTATTCACACCATCAATATTTACAATGTAAAACCCAGAGTTG